AACAATTGTATCAATTAAGAAATGCAAATTTCAGTATGCAATTCTTGGTCTTCGCTGCAATCACTTGGACTCTTTAGCTTTCCCAAACGCCTTCTGTTCAGCCAGCCTGTGTGTTCTGATGATGAAACTAAGCACATTGTTTTGTCTTCTCAACCCACTTCCACTCAAAGGTTCTCTCTCTTTCTTCTATATATCATAATTTGTAATCACCAAAGTGGATGTTTCTGGTTTTGTTTCTTGAGTTCTGATACTTGTTTTTTATTTATTTATTCTTTTTTTCGATTTTATGAATGCTAGAAACTGTATTGAGGAGTTGGGTGAACTCAAAAGTTTTAATCCTTTAACAAAGCGGCGGATGTTGCTTACAGGTTGTTTCATGTATTTGTGTTATCACCCTTCAAGGTACTTATCAGGTCTGCACAATTCAGCTTTGTGTTTGTTTGATTCCAACTGTCTTTTTACTTAATTTGTTCGAAGCCATAAATTTTGTAATCTGATTGTGAATGTTTACATTGGCAATTATGCTGAGAGGGTATTTTTTTTTCTTTTTCACCTCATTTACAATTTTCTTCCAAATTATGTGGTGAACATTTGTACATGTACAGCTCAAGCTTTGGGGGATCCATCTGTGACAATAGAGCAAGTAACTCCTCCTGTTTTTCCATCTGGGGCACTCTTCCCTATTGAGGTTAGTTATCGACTATATTGGCTAAGCTGTTCATAATTTTGAAGTTTAGTATTTCTTCTATATGTTTCAGATATCTTTTTACCAACATTGTGTATAATTGCAGGAAAGAATTGTCCAACTGTTTGAGAAGAATACATATTCTGTTGTTAACATTTTTGATGCAACATTGCGGCCCCAAGTTAAAGTAACTGGTGTTGTTGAGGTATTGTAGTGCTTTGACTTTGGCAAGTTCATGATTTTTTTTCCTTGCACAATTACTATTATTGCCTTAATTATGTCAGATTCCTGAAGGAAATGGTTCTGGAGTAGTTTGGGATGGACTGGGACACATTGTCACGAACTATCATGGTAAGGTCTAATCAACGATTTTGAAAGGTTTGAAAGATGATTTGCATACGATGCTTTACATACATTATCAAAGCCTTTATCAAACACTAAAATTATGAATATGATATTTTATTATGTATCCATTGTGGATGTCATAGAATTATATTTTTCGAACTTTATTAGGTGCTAGTTATTCATATTAAGAGTGCTGATCGGACAGAAATTCCAATTGTTGTCTAGTGATAGGTAATGCCCTTTCAAGAAACCCAGGCCAGGGGCAAGTTGTGGCACGAGTTAATATTCTAGCTGCAGAAGGGTGAGATTTGCAGTGCCCTTAGTCTATATGTTGGTAATTTGGCTGCATTATGATGTTGAAGCTTTAGCTGTCGCACCCATGTCTCTCATTTTGTGTAGTTTTATAAAGGGTGCAAAAGAATTTCGAGGGAAAGTTGGTTGGTGCTGACCGTGCTAAGGATCTTGCTGTCTTGAAGGTACAATTCCCTCCTTCAAATCTTACTCTATCTTAGTTCCTCACATTTATCTTTGAAGTAATTCAATGAATGGCTTGATTTTGATAAAGCTATATCCAAGTCTACGACAAAAAGACAAATTATTGTACAAGGTGTTTTCTGTTGTGTTGCACGGTTGATGTTTATTCCATGCTTAGGTAGAAGCCTCTGAAGATCTCTTGAGGCCGATTAAAGTGGGGCAGTCGTCGTCTCTAAAAGTTGGGCAGCAATGTCTAGCAATTGGAAATCCATTTGGCTTCGATCACACTCTCACGGTTGGTGTTATTAGTGGACTGAATAGAGATATTTTTAGTGCAAGTGGAGTCACAATTGGTGGTGGAATTCAAACAGATGCGGCGATCAATCCTGGGAACAGGTTAGTCTCATGAAAGTACTTTTCGTATCCGTTAGGTACAAATGTATTGATTGTAGATGGTTTATCATCTGCTACTACTTCACTTCTTCTCAAATTGTTGCAGTGGAGGACCTTTGCTGGATTCTAAAGGAAACTTAATTGGGATTAATACAGCTATATTTACACAAACAGGTAATTTTCATTCTATATAGTTTATATTTTGTGATCTATGGTCACTTAAATTCTTATTTTTGTTGTTTGATGTGGCAGGGGCATCGGCGGGTGTAGGGTTTGCCATCCCATCAACAACTGTGCTCAAGATTGTTCCTCAACTGATCCAACTTGGCAAAGTAATTTTTGTTTTCATGAATCTTTTAATCTTTTAATGTAATTTATGAAACTCGCCTTTTACTATCGTATTCTTGTTTGTTCTTCNGTCTATATGTTGGTAATTTGGCTGCATTATGATGTTGAAGCTTTAGCTGTCGCACCCATGTCTCTCATTTTGTGTAGTTTTATAAAGGGTGCAAAAGAATTTCGAGGGAAAGTTGGTTGGTGCTGACCGTGCTAAGGATCTTGCTGTCTTGAAGGTACAATTCCCTCCTTCAAATCTTACTCTATCTTAGTTCCTCACATTTATCTTTGAAGTAATTCAATGAATGGCTTGATTTTGATAAAGCTATATCCAAGTCTACGACAAAAAGACAAATTATTGTACAAGGTGTTTTCTGTTGTGTTGCACGGTTGATGTTTATTCCATGCTTAGGTAGAAGCCTCTGAAGATCTCTTGAGGCCGATTAAAGTGGGGCAGTCGTCGTCTCTAAAAGTTGGGCAGCAATGTCTAGCAATTGGAAATCCATTTGGCTTCGATCACACTCTCACGGTTGGTGTTATTAGTGGACTGAATAGAGATATTTTTAGTGCAAGTGGAGTCACAATTGGTGGTGGAATTCAAACAGATGCGGCGATCAATCCTGGGAACAGGTTAGTCTCATGAAAGTACTTTTCGTATCCGTTAGGTACAAATGTATTGATTGTAGATGGTTTATCATCTGCTACTACTTCACTTCTTCTCAAATTGTTGCAGTGGAGGACCTTTGCTGGATTCTAAAGGAAACTTAATTGGGATTAATACAGCTATATTTACACAAACAGGTAATTTTCATTCTATATAGTTTATATTTTGTGATCTATGGTCACTTAAATTCTTATTTTTGTTGTTTGATGTGGCAGGGGCATCGGCGGGTGTAGGGTTTGCCATCCCATCAACAACTGTGCTCAAGATTGTTCCTCAACTGATCCACCTTGGCAAAGTAATTTTTGTTTTCATGAATCTTTTAATCTTTTAATGTAATTTATGAAACTCACCTTTTACTATCGTATTCTTGTTTGTTCTTCGCAAATCTTTAAATATCAAGATTTACGGAGTTCATAGTTAAACTCATGTATTACATTGTATCCATGAAGCTCTGAAACTGCAGAATCTTTCTATATTCCCTATCACATTCTTCACTTGTTTTAGGTTGTTCGAGCTGGTTTGAATCTGGATATTGCTCCTGACCTAATTGCAAATCAACTTAATGTTCGAAATGGAGCTCTTGTTCTACAGGTATTCTGATGGAATCAAGAGTGACCCTCTATTCTATGAACAAAGTGTCCCATGTTTTGGCGTAATTCGTCTACATATTGCTTGCTCGTAGAATATTTCATGATTTTCCTAATTTGTGCTATGTGTTGCTGTAGGTTCCTGCAAATAGCCTTGCAGCCAAAGCTGGAATACTTCCCACCACAAGGGGTTTCTCTGGTAACATAGTGCTTGGAGATATCATTGTAGCTGTTGAAAACAAACCTGTAAGTTATTTTGTGCTTAATCAATCTTTTAGCTGCCTAATGGATTAGTTTTGTTTCCGGTACAATCGACATCTAGAGAACGTCTTCCCTAAAGTATTCGTATATATAACCAATCAATCATGGGACGGGTACATATCATGTGCACTAACATATCACCTCATGATTGGTTGGTTGTATGTACACTCGTAAAAAAGTTTCTTTTTTCAAATATTCGCACGGATTGAATATAACTTTGATTGATTTTTACGCTCTCTTTTATCAGGTTAAAAGCAAAGCAGAGTTAGACAATACCTTGGATGAGTATAGTGTCGGGGACAAAGTGATCTTAAAGATTCAAAGGGGCAATGAAAATTTGGAACTCCCAATAATTCTAGAGGAGAAGACTTCATGAGGGGATCTATCAATTTCTCTTTTTTAATTTTTTTTTAATAGAATATTAAAAAAACTTTGTGTAATTTTCTACATTGTATGAGAAGAACTTAGTGGATGTTAAATATAAAATAATTGTTCATTTTATTTTTGTTATAATCACTTGTTTATGAATATTTCGTTTTGGTAAACGAATCAAAATTTACTATCACGTGCAATAATTTGCATCTTTTCAAACAAATTTTATCGTGAAATCTTCAATAATAACGGCTTCGTTTGGTTGGATTTTGGGAATACTATTTTTAGTATTCCCAAAAAAGTTAAACAGTAAAATACCCAAAACTCATAATATTATTCAACTTTATTCAACTTTTTTTAAACCCTCTAAATTTGTTAATTTAATTAAATACCCCTAAATATTTTTAATGTTTTTGTTACAGCGACTCTGGTTACCCTCCGGCGGTAGTGGTCGGCTGTCCGTATTTAAGGGTAGATTGGAGGTGTTTTTGTTAACTTTTAATGTTTTATTATAGGGGGTGTTTTGTAAAAAAACAAACATAAGGGGTATTTTATAATTTGTAAATCTTACATCGTAATACCCGCCCAATTCAACTTTTTTTTAACTTTTTTCAAAAAACTTTTCCCAAAAACCCAAAATTTTGAACCAAACGAAGCCAACATTTTCAAACAAATTACTTTGTAGGCGAGGTATTTTTGCGAATGTATGGGGTAATTTTGTCAAACCATGTAAAATTGATAAGATGATCTCATTGGCCCAAAATTCGAACTGGGTGTTGGGATTTGGGCCTTGGGCCTAGCCAACTGGCTCATCTATATGATCCAAAACCAACCGACTCAAGGCCCAATTTACAGATCTTCTCTGAAACTAGGAACAATCCAAGGTTTAGGGTTTTAGAATGGTTAGCCCTGACCACTACTCTCCCTCCTCGTCCGCTTTATCTCTCTTTAACATTCAGGTTACGTTCCATACAACCCACTAACTTATTATTATGTTTCTATTACTTCAATTTCTCGTTTTAATTTCTGCGGTTCATTTGCGCTGATAAGTTTTTGTTTTTTTTTATTATTATTATTTTATATTTATATATATATATCGAATTGTGAAGTATTAACTGCGTTGGAGCACACTATAAGGAGAAATATTTACTGGGTTTTTGGTAGTTTGATGTGGGTAAGGTATTAAATGGCAAGAGGCCAAGGAACAACTCTGATTCGTATATGTATATCGAAAAACAATGTTTCTAGGATAAGGTTTTTGTCGTCGAATCGATATTTTCATTCTGGTAGGCAATTTGAGAAGTCGGTATGGGAGAAAGACAATTCTAGTCTCACATTTGATGTGCCCAAACGTGAATTCTCAACGACCTTGATAGACCTAGTTGGTGTGCATTTGGCTTCAAAGGGCACTAATTTTACGGAGTTTAATCATGTTAATACAAGACTGTTTTCTTCATCTCGTAAAAAAGTTAATTTTGTTGATGACGGTAGTGCTTCTTTATCAGAAATGGAGTTGGAGGAAAATGATAGTTTGAGTTCGGAAGAAAGTGTGGATGATGATGGAATTGGAGATAATTTTGATGGTTATAATAAGAATGATATTTTTGATTCAAATATGATTGAATCGGAAGGTAATAATGATGGCGTGAATAGCAGTGACTCTAGCAGGTTTCTGCGGGTATCAACCCGTGATCCTGTGGAGTTGTATAGGGAGCTAAGTAATGCTGAAAAGGGTGCCAAGCAAAAACGGTCTGATTGGGAGGTCCTACTGGAAGTTTTCCGATTCTTTTCTATTTCAGGGTGGGCAGTCAACCAGGCTCTTGCAATTTACATTGGCAGGTCATTTTTCCCTACTGCTGTTAGCAAGTTCCGCAGCTTTTTCTTCAAGAAATGTCCTGATGAAGTTGCCAAGTATTTGGTGTGGCTTGGTCCATCTGATGAGGCTGTTAAGTTTCTTTTCCCTATATTTGTTGAGTTCTGCTTGGAAGAGCTTCCTGATGAGGTTAAGCGGTTCAAAAGTATGGTGGACTCAGCTGATCTCACAAAGCCACACACTTGGTTTCCTTTTGCGCGGGCTATGAAACGTAAGATTATATATCACGTTGGTCCAACAAACAGTGGTAAGACATACAACGCTTTGCAGCGATTTATGGAAGCAAAGAAGGGTATTTATTGCAGTCCTTTGAGGCTCTTGGCTATGGAAGTTTTTGACAAAGTGAATGCCAATGGTGTTTATTGTAGTCTTCTTACAGGTCAAGAAAAGAAACGTGTTCCATTTTCTAACCATATTGCTTGCACGGTGGAAATGGTGTCAGCAGATGAACTGTATGATGTCGCTGTCATTGATGAAATCCAGATGATGGGAGATCCATATAGAGGTTTTGCATGGACAAGAGCATTGCTTGGAGTAATGGCAGATGAAATACATTTGTGTGGAGATCCAAGTGTTCTGGATATTGTTCGGAAGATATGTTCAGAAACTGGAGATGAGTTGCATGAGCAACACTATGAGAGGTTCAAACCATTAGTTGTCGAGGCCAAGAGCCTGTTAGGAGATCTTCGAAATGTACGATCTGGGGACTGTGTTGTTGCATTTTCAAGGAGAGAGATATTTGAGGTGAAATTGGCCATTGAGAAACAGACCAACCACCGTTGTTGTGTTATCTATGGTGCTTTGCCACCAGAGACTCGTAGACAGCAAGCTAACTTGTTCAATGATCAAGGTAGCGAATTTGATGTGCTGGTTGCAAGTGATGCTGTGGGAATGGGTTTGAATCTCAATATCAGAAGAGTTGTTTTTTATAATCTTTCAAAGTACAATGGTGACAAGATTGTTCCAGTTCCTGCATCACAGGTTAAGCAGATTGCAGGGAGAGCTGGTAGGAGGGGAAGCATATACCCAGATGGACTCACAACAACATTGCATTTAGATGATCTGGATTACTTGATTGAGTGTTTGAAGCATCCTTTTGAACCGGTTAAGAAAGTGGGTCTCTTTCCTTTCTTTGAGCAAGTTGAGCTATTTGCTGGGCAATTCTCGGATGTTACTTTAGCCCAGCTGCTTGAAAAGTTTCGTGAAAACTGCCGTCTGGATGGATCCTACTTCCTATGTAAACATGAACATATAAAGAAGGTAGCTAATTTGTTGGAAAGGGTGCAGGGGTTATCTTTGGAAGATCGTTTCAACTTTTCTTTTGCTCCTGTTAATATTAGAGACCCAAAAGCAATGTACCATCTACTGAGGTTTGCTTCATCTTATAGTGAAAATATTGCTGTTAGTATTGCAATGGGCATGCCAAAGGGTTCTGCTAAAAGTGATGCCGAACTCTTAGATCTTGAGACTAAGCATCAGGTGTTGTCTATGTATCTTTGGTTGTCCAACCAATTCAAGGGGGACTTTTTCCCGCATGTGAAAAAGGCTGAGGAAATGGCAGGGAGCATTGCTGATTTATTGGGTCAGTCTCTTGCTGACGCTTCTTGGAAACCAGAATCAAGGCCGGCAGCGAAATCAAAGCCTCAGGAGAAAAAAGATGGTTATGAGAGACCAAGGTCACTCATCAAGTCATATGAGAAGTAGGTCAATTGAATTTATTTAGTTATTTTTTTCCCTCAAACTTGCTTATTGGTAGTCTCTCTTCAAAAGCTTTTTGGCATGTGATTTGTGTCTAAATTGATTTCTAATATAAAGATGATTAGGCTACTGTAGCTTGTTGATTTGGGTTTTCAGTTTTTTATTGTTGGATTATTTTCAATAGAATACCTCTATATATAAGGAAAAATATCCTTTAAAAATGCTTATTCTGTATTTTTGTTAGGAGAAATGTGGAGATTGTATTGTTCTAAAACATAGTTAATGGCCCTGTAAAACCACATTTCTATTTCTGCAGTTATTTGACTGCTATGATGATCAGATCTTTCTAGTTTGATGAAATCTAGAGGCTTTTGGTTCTATTAGTGCACTCATTCTTCTAATTCAGTTAGACAGTGCATAAGTTGAGGCCAGCAGATCACCTGGGTTAACTTAGTAGAATTATAACTCGGCCTTGGTGAAGCTTGAAAGAGAGTGGAAAAAAACCATAATAAATTTGATGGCAGAGGGAAAAGCGATTTAAGTAGAATCGTGTTTAAAGAATATTGGGAGATAGATGACTGTCTGGTGGAAACCTAAACTTGATTGTTCAAATAATGGAGATTGGCACAGCTCACAACTCTATCGAGTCCAAGGTTTCATAGAAGGGAGAAGTGAGGATAGAAGATAGTTTTGTTTTGGCAATGGAAGTTGTAGAAGACCATGTTTAGTGTGCCTCTGTTTATTTATAGAAATTTTGAATTTGACGTCTGTGGATATATGTTTTACTGCAATGAAATGCTATGTGCATTTTGACGATCCTAAGTGCTGGCAAATTGTTTTTTTATTTTATTTTATTTTTTTGCAGGAGAAGGCAAGAAAAAAACCCACTGCCGGGGCAGTCAAAGAGGGTGGCAACATGAAGATTTTTCAGGTAGTTGGGCTACACTCTCCGGTTTAGATTTAATTGCTATGATGTGTAATTGTTTTGTTTTGTTCGCCTTTGTCTTTTCTTCTTCTTCATTACATTTCATATTTTTAACATCAACTCCACCTCTGTAAGCTTTCTCATGGTTAATTCAACGCAACTTTGATGTCTGCTGATTGGCTATAGTTGTTTTAAGTGTAGTTTGATGGTTTGTATTCCAAACTTGGGGTCAAAATTTGAATTTGTACCAGACAGTCTCAAATGCACAGAAAAGAAGCTGGAATTTCTGTCAAATTTATGCGTGGAACTGTAGAACTACTTGTGTTTCCATGGTAACCGGGTGCATGCAACTACTAAAGACTTGGAGTGTAAATCATCATCCTGGTTTCTTGACGCTGACATCTGGGAATTATCAACCATTTCGGATATGTAGCAAAAAAACTAGCATTTTTGAGTGAAGCTACTTGTATAGAGAAATTTGTAATACAATGTTCCCTTTTCCAACTGATAGATCTATTTGCGGAAGAAACAGGTCAGAGTGATGATGCTTGTTGGGCAGAGTGTTGTTGTATTTATAGGCTTTAATATATTTAGTTTGGGAAGGAATAGGAGATTTTCAGTATTTATCATACATTTTTCTCATTCCATCATAATTCAGATGTTCGTTACTCTTTGTAGATTATTTACTTCAAATAAGTCTAGAAACTGCTTCAAATGTTTCGAAAATGAATACGTCATTTGTGGAGGCATAATGTAGAAACTGTAGAAGTAAAAAAACAACTGTACAGACTGTAGGCAAGAGGCATTTACTAGGATCAAAAGTGTTATTATTAGCAACACATATAGGATGGGGGCATATGCCAAGTGTTTTGGATGGACAACTATATTTCATCAATCTATATTCCCATTCTTTTGATTTAAAATCAGCAAAAGAAATCGGTAGATGGTGAAAGTAATTGAAAGGTTGCCAATGCCGGAGACTAGCATACTTACAAATTTCTGGCACCTCTGTTTCACCACAAAATGTATGAATTTGAGTTTATCTAAACTTTTGTTGGGGATGAGATTTAGCTCCACCTGCCATCTTTTCTACTTCCGGGTGCAAGCCTCTTCATCCACTGCACCCACTTGCTTCCTAGCCTTTTTTATATGTTGTGCTTCAGAGTAACGCATCCATCGGCATGTCAAAGGAAATTTCTTCTATCTAGACTGCAGAAGTAAGTGACAAAACGAATAATAATGTCAGAAATTAAAAAGAAGCTCAAATAAACAGCATACTTGAGGAAAGGTTGGGTTTGGCAATGCCGTACTTTGGTCTATTAAAATTGTATAACGGACGGAACTCCTCAAATTGATTTGAAAGGATCAAATTGATTTTCTGTACTTCCATATCGCACACCACGCATTTGTGGTCGTATCTGCCAATTTGTTCAGCTTCTAGTTTGCAATTACCACACCAAAGCAAGTGTTTACAGGGGAAATTCCCCCACATCATCTTTTGCCGGTTGCAGCCAAAGCATAATCCCTGAAGAAGGTTTGCCTTGTATTTCTGCAAGCCAGCCACAGCATAATATATAAATTCATAGCAATGTTAATAGAAATAAAGAATGAAGGCTTTTAGGTGTAGTGCATTGCTCACAGGGTAGAAATCAAATTCACGGAGAAAGAGGACTGATGAGTTCTTCCTTTTTATAGCCAGCCACTGCAAAACCAAATGCCTGTTGTGAAGCATAAGCTTTATTCCTTCGGATGGCTCCATCCATCTTCTTCTATCATTTGGGTCTCCTGAACCCTCATCACCTCCCTGATACGACGATGTCTGGGAAAAGGAGAACATGCCCGGCTTTGTAAACCAAACAAGCCTTTGAGGTACACCAGATGATGTACTTCTCTGAGCTGAATTTCCTCTCCGTGATGTAGTTGAACTATCTTCAGTGATCTCATGGGATGAATTTCCCTCATTACTGCTAGTGGTGAAGCCAGTAGATGCACTAGATGCTGACGGAAGGTCCTGAGGAGACTTGGAATCACATGAATCACTATCATCGCCATCACCAATTGATTTTACTGGGAAGGGCGGGGAGTGCATTTTCAGTTGTTGGAGAACTTTCAGTTTTGGCTTAGGTATGCTGCTAGGCAGCAGCACCATGTGGTTAGGAGATCCATTTTTACTCAAAGTCCGAGACTTCATGGTGCAAATATCGGGGAAGGTCCTCATAAAGTCACTGAGTTTTGGATACCCGAGAGAGGCATGATCCATTTCAAGTTGAAAAGCAGCCTTAAAATCTGCTTTCAGAGATGAGAGAGCATATTCTCCTTCAATGGGAGGCTTATATTGATGTTGTAAGAAGCGGGGGAGCCACTTTTTGAAAATCCTGAGCCATTTGGGCACGGTTTCGTCCTCAAAACTGGTGCTGACATCTGCTTGAGATTCAGACATTGGCTGACAAAGCAGCATTCTATCAGCCCAAGATGTATGTTCAGGTTTTTCCTCTTCTAAAGTCTCCCTACATGGCATGTCTTCTTGGTTCTTCCTAGAGGGCATCTCCTCTTCAGTCTTTCTAGCAGACATATCTTCTGTAGTCTTCTTATCTGGCATCACTGCTTGTAGTTGAGACTGGTCCTTAATATTTGCTTCTCGCCGTCGAGCTGCTTGTTTCTGCAACTCAGCAAGCACAAGAAATTTTGGGATAGCGCTTTTAATCTCGACTTTCCTGCCCATAATGGTTACATAGCGTGCTTCAACAGCCTCAGAAACAGATTCTTCATGTGCAAAGGTTATAAAGCCAAATCCTCGAGACTGTATCTGCTTTCCTGTTTGAAATCTGGCAACTTTGGCATTTTCAACCGGCCCAAAATGTTCTTCAAAAAACTCGCTCAATGAGTCTGATTTATAAAAGTGAAAGAGAATTGTGTCATTCAAATGAAATATACAGAGAAAAACCAAGTTCATTTCTTGACCAAATTCCCTAGAAAAGCTTTCACTAGTTGAATGGAAAATGACTTAATTTTTATTCCTACGAATTGCATGCGGTAAGGTTCTAACCAGAATCCAGTGAAAGGGGAAGGCCTCCTACAAAAATTTTACGTTTGAAGTCCTCTGCTGTAGCAGAATGAATCAAGTTCGCTCCACGTTTCGTCTTCCGAAGCTCCTGAACCCCATGAGCATAAAAACACTTGGCCCCTCTGACGCATCCACTAGGAGATTCAAAATACTTACAAATCTCTGGCTTCACGTTCGAGCACATTCTGCGGTTCAAATCCAGTAGAAAGTATTAAAACCATATAGAAGAAAAAGATTCACATGCAATTTATATGAAGTTTGAGTTTTCCGCTTGAGTAGTCACTTCTCAATACTGGTGCCTTCTTCAGTCATGGACAGTAGCGCTTCACAAGTTTCTGAAATTTCATCTCCTTCCAGAGAAGCAATATACTTCTGCTGAATGGCCAAAGCACGGTTCACTGCATATGTAGAACTAAGGACATCAGACTGAAAATGGATCAAATCAAGAAAAGACGTTATATCTTTATGGTTTTCATATTAATTCAGGTTCAACTTACTGTGACAAATATTAGCTGCATTAAGCAAGAAACGCATGTCTTGCGACACTGCCAAGTCTATTGGCCTCTCTCTACTGCAGATGACAACAAACGGTACATACACATGAGGACAAATAGATATCAGCAATTCGAAATTAAATTTCAACAAGTTTCTTACAAACAAATTATATAATTATAGAAATAGAATTGAATGATATAAAGGGAAGACGGATCTGTTGTTTCCAACCGCAAATTTAGGACTTCACTGTTCGCTCCCTGACGCAAAAGAAGCTCAGCACAATCCATATGATCATTCTTAGCAGCAAAAAATAGTGGGGTTTCCTTCATTACTGTTTTCGAGTTTATACATTCTGATTCTTCCAATAGAAGGACCTGTAAGCTCAAAACCATAAAAAAAAATGTGAAAGGTAATTAATTAGAATTATAAGAAGAGTTTCCTTTTGGTTGCAAATAGCATATTGCTGAATAAGAGAATTGCAAAAGGAGACATGAAGAGGTTATATACATGCCTCAAGTGCCTGTAAATTGCCACTAGCAGCAGCAAGGTGAACGGCAGTTAGGCCCAACTTATTTTTTTGGTTCACTCGGGCACCATGTTTCAGGAGGAGCCCCACTATCCTGCAAACAAGAAGGCAATTTTAAGTCAAAAGGCAAGGCAACAGTCTGAGTCCCAATGAAACACGCAGGCAAGACAGAGAGAGAAAGACCTATTCTGCTGCACTTGTTGGCACGAGCCCATAGATGCCTTGAGAGCGAAATGAAGTGCAGCATTTCCTTCAGCGTCGGTATCATTTACATCTGTATTTGACTTCAAAAGTAGCTCCATCACAGCTTCATCTCCAGCCTGTAAGTAATAAAGCCGCTGGTTACACATTACACTCCAAATATAATATTCTATTCAGTGCAATCTCCCAATACACTGGGCTGTAAAATAAGTTATTTTTGTTCTCCAACAATCTGAGGAGATTTTTTTCTTCCGGGATCATGTTGTCTTTATTGCTACAAATGAAAAGTTCAATTTGAAATAATCAAAAGAAGATTTGTTTTGTTTCTGAAATTTGTCCTTATGTGGCTTGTACCTTTGAAAGGAAAGCACTACATAAATACTGAAACCAGGGAACCAAGACAACGGAATTCAGATATTATTAAAGAATGACCAAAAAGATGTTCCTACATTGAGTTTTCAGGGATGCAGAATTTACGAAAGTGCCCCTGCTTATTAATCGAATAATACGTTTTTAATTGGGGGACATAAAAGTCTGATCGACAAAAAAATTGTGCGTCCTCCCAGTACTGTCTTTCAAAATCATCATCGAAAAAAGTTAAACAGCAAACTTAATATTATGGGTAATATTATATTTACACTATTTTTTATATCATTTTATAAATATCATAATACGTTATATCTTACAATTATATAAATTTTATTATAATATTAAAAATTTTAAATAATTAAAAATTTATGTAATTATAACATATACCATGTTTACATAATAGTGTAAAAAAATTATGTAAATATATCATTATTCTAATATTAAACGCCCTAAACATAAAAGTGTTTCATTAATTATTATTATTATTTTTACCTGAGCCGCGAGTATCAAAGGTGACGTCACCTTCTTGTCCGTACAACTTCTATTGGAAACAGCACCAAAGAGCTGAAGCAACTCTATTTCACACAGCAGGAGCTTCCTCTTCTTTGCGGACTCGCTCTTCGTCGGCGCACTGCTCCGTTTAGCCGCCCGCAAACACGACGTCGTCGTGCGGCCCAACGACAAGGCCTCCTTGACCACGCACTCGTATATCGTGGTCTCCTCTTTGCACCCCGAATCGGCGTCGTGTAACACCAAAAGCGACGAGTTCACACTCTCTGCTGCCACAATGAGCAGCGCGGCTAACTCCACTACTCTGCCCCCTACGGCACTTGCATACGCCACCTCGCTGATCTCTTTCGTTTTCTCACTCAGGAGTTTGACCGTGGTCAAATCCTGTTCAAACAAAAACCAAAACCAGTTAATTTCTATTTACTTCTTGATGTTTAATAACTAAATAAAAGGTTCTTAAAAAGATTTAAAGTTGTTTAACCTTTTGACTAAGAATGACGACCAAGTCTTCGACGGAGTAGTCATCCGGATTCCAAATCACATCCATTCTGCAACAATCACAAGGATAAGATCAAGAAAAAGGATTTAATTAATACAAATAATAGTAAAAAAAAAAAAAATGAAATAAAGAAAGCTAGGTGGGTAGGTTTCCAAAAATGGAAACCTGTTTTATTCAATTGTTGTGAAAGTTGATAAAGCAACAAAAGACCTAAACTTGTACTATTTATGCACAATCATAAACTGAAAAGGTGAAAACGACGTGCTCGTTTTGGACCTTACCTACTGCTAGATAGAGATAACTCCAGAGCCAGCCTTCCACGTCCGTCCTTACTTTTAACAGCCGTACGGGCGCGTTTCTTCAACAGCATTTCCACGCAACGTGCCGCGTGCGACTCGGCCGCCACGTGGATGGCCGTCAGACCTGTGACGTTGTCCGTCTTGTTGACAGCCGCCGCCGCTCCTCCCAGCAGTTCCCCGTTGACCAGCGCCGTGGCGCAGAAAACGGAGTCCAAGTTGCAACAGAGGTGGAGGATCTTCAAGACGGCCGTCGACGCCGTCGTCTGGAGTGTATCATTATCGTTGCCGTTGAGGAGTGCTTGTTTGATGATGTTTATGAGTTGATCTTTGTCGTCTTGGAGGATTGATTTGACGAGGTTTGTTTCTAAGTCGGTCAGTACTGGAGTTGAATATGAAGAGAACACACATTTCGGAACCGAGTTTAAGAAATCGGTTAAAGAGAATATGCGTGTTTCCTGTAAATTAGTTAACAGAAACAAGAGGAAAAAAAAAAATAGTTTAGTTATTTCAATTACACTAAAAGCTCAGTTCTTTTCCTTTCTCGAGAAAATCCTAACTTTCCGAGAAAGGTTAGGAAAATCAACTTTTACACAAGATTAGAAAACATATAAAAAGAAAAAAAAAGTTTCAGTCACTTTCTGAGAAAATCCAGGTAAAATTTACATAAATCTGCATAGAAAGTGAGAAAATCATAAAATTTTCTATCAAAATCGTCAATAAAATTAACCTTTTCGCGATATGCATTTCCAGGAAAATTTTCACAGCCTCCAAAATTTCAGAGAAAATGAAAAATGAAAGGCTTTAAAAAAAAAAAAAAAAAAAAAAACTCAAGAAAATATGCTGTGATACGAACTTGCATGCTGTGATACGAACTTGCATAAAATAAAAATAAATAAAGAAATTATAAAATCGAAATCGGAGGAGTCTCGCACCAGATTCATCTCAAAACCCTAACTTCTACAGCAAATTAGTCAGCTTGTCTGGAACAATGTACATGATAGCGAAAGCCAGCGTTTCAGACGTCGTCGTTTCCTGGCTCTGAGAGTGGGGCAGCGAACTGCGGAATAGCTGGGAACTTCAAGCGGCGTGCAGAAGTGAAGGTATTTATAGAAACGGATTTGGATGGGTTTAATTAACTGGATTTTTTTGGTCCCGTTCACGTCCTCATATTATTGCTCACAGAATTTTTGTTCCTATCATGCCTCCGAGCTAGCTCCGCTTGAGCTTTGTTAAATCCCACCTGAGGTCAAGGGTAATTCCGGAAAACAGTTAAGTTTTTTAGACCGTCATACTGTACAGATCACTTAAAGATATAAATGATGTAACACATTTTATTTGAAGATTCGATGAAAGACCCTCCTTTCAAAAGAAGGTGAAATACGTTATTGTAATTCCAACTTGTTAGACCCGTCAGTTAAGAAGATTTGTTCTCTTTATTAATTTTTTAAATTTAAAATTTTATAATTACTTATAATATTTGTAATTTATCTTAAAAAAATTAGATTGGTGGGATATTCAACCCTTATGGACACTTATAAAATTATATCTCTGCTTTTATAAGCTCTATTAAAAGAGACGTGTTAAAGCTGAATTTCCAACGCTTTGATTAACATGTAAATTTCCCAACAATTTAAAAGCACTGGTTTCTAGGTAGAAGTCAAAGCAAAATAAGTGCTTTCCGAAATACCGTGACTGATAATAGAAGAATTTGCCAAAATAGGTAATCTGAATGAGAAATTCTTTATCCAAATGGGGTACTAGTTTTTCCTCTATAATTGGTATAGAAGGCACCGTCATTGACCTTTCAAAGTCATCTAGCTTTGTTAAATTTCTAGGAAAATTAGAAAGTCTTTCATCTAAGAGGATTTTTTTTTTTTAAATTTTTAAATTTAATTTTTTTTAAGGTATCTAAGGTATACAAGCTTACGTTGGAGTCTACCTAATTTCAGGGCCACGGAACATCATAATAAACCAAGGTAATTTCATAAATATGATATACTTAATTCTTAGAGCCACGTAACATCATACAAGTCCAATAGATCAAGGTAATTACTTAATTCTCAAGGCCATAGATCAAGGTAATTGCATAATTGTGGTACATCTAATTCTCAAAACCATTGATTATCCTATAAGTCCAATAGACCAAGGTAATTGTCTAATTCTCAGGGCCACAAAACACTCTACAAGCCCAATGAACCTAGATAATTGTACAAATATAGTAGATACTTCTTTTGTGTTTGAAAACAAGACTTTCTAAGTATAGCTAACCCCAATGACTAAATGGTTTGTCATTCGACCACAAGAGGCTTTATCAAGTGCCAATTATGTGGATTTTGACATGATGAAATTAATTTGGATGTTTTTAATGGGAGAACGACTTATACATACCCAATGTTTGTCGAAACGACAAGTTGGTACCCAAAAGGTTTTGAAACGACAAATGGGTACTTTCCGTCATGTTCTGTTAGTGATTTTCGTTAAGATAATAGTGAAAAGACTCAAATGCCCTTGAAAGTTTAATTTTTAGTTTTTTATAAATTTAAAAATTTCTAAAAAACCCCCTAGGTTTGCTAATTTGACTAAATACCCCAATATATAAAAATTTTATAAAATAACAAATACACCTGCGCCACCCACAGTGCCGATTCCGGCCACCACCGCTGGAATCTGGCCGAAAAATTGTGTTACGACACAGACCCATCGGATCTGTGTCGTAACACACCGATCTGGCCTTTTCCGGCCTCGACGGCCAGATCTGNTTTTTTAAGGTATACAAGTTTACATTGGAGTCTACCTAATTTAAGGGTTACGGAACATTGTAATAGGCCAAGGTAATTGCATATATGTGATATGCTTAATTTTTAGAGCCACATAACATCCTCCAAACCCAATAGATCAAGATAATTGCTTAATTTTCAAAGTCATAGATCAAGGTAATTATATAACTGTGGTATACCTAATTCTCAAAGCCATAGGATACCGTATAAGCTCAATAGACCAAGGTAATTGTCTAATTCTCAGGGCCACAACACTCTACAAGCCCAATGAATCTAGGTAATTACACAAATATAGTAAATACTTCTTTTATGACTTGAAAACAAGACTTTCTAAGTATAACTAACCCCAATGACTAAATGATTTGTCATTTGACCACAAGAGAATGGGTCTTTCATCTTAGTTTTGGCTTTATCAAGTGCCAATTATGTGGATTTTGACATGATGAAATTAATTTGTATGTTTTTAATTGGCATAAATTTCATATACAAACTTTTTTTTTTGTAGAAATTGATGTGTCAGGTGGATGAACAAAAGATATAAACGCGCGCGTGTGTGCCTATTTATATATAATTTGTATGTTTTTAATTGGCATAAATTTTATATACAAACTTTTTTATAGAAATTGACGAGTCAGGAGGATGAACAAAAGATATAAACGTGTGTGTATATATATATATATTTGAGGTATTGAGTTCCAAGAACCTGACATAATCCTTAGGGTCATGAAACACTCTACAAACCTAATGGATTAAAATACTTATACAAATATGATAGATATTTATCATGCGACTTGAACACAACAAGACCCCCTATGTATAGTTAACTCTAATGGCTAAACGGTTTGCTATTTGACCATAAGAGAAGAGATAACTATAAATATATTTATAAAAGAAGGTTCGGGAACATCAAAGAACTTTGGATGATTGAGATTAAATACAACTTGCATTTCGAAAAGAGTAATATTACACTTACAAAGAAATTTTACAAAGATGTCCATACAAAATGATGTTGCAAAAAATGAATGAAAGAGTGAATTTAATGAGTTTAACCTTTTGTTTTACTCTTCTATTCATTTTTTGCTACCTCATTTTGTGTGGACATTTTTGTAAGATTTATTTGTAAATATGGTATTATTGTTTCGAAATATCATATTTAAAATACAATCTCAACCATTCAAATAATTTAATCTAACAGCTCATAAATTGTGGATAAGTTTCAGGTATTAAAATTAATGGTAAATCTGTGCAAGTCATTGTTACTTAGCTTTCTACATTTAAGTTCACTCAGTATGACTTGTATAATTTACCCAACACATGAAAGCACGCAAAATTGGATTATTATCATTGCAATTCATTGTAAATGATAGATTATAATCATTTGGTTCTCATTGTTTTAACTATTTATATGGGTGTTTTCCCCCAAGTAGATAGGGACTAAGAAAATGTATTTCAATACCAACCTTATATTATTTTACAGATATTTGAGATATTGGAGAAAATTTAAAAGTAACACATATATTACATTTAAATATTATCGTGTGTTAAAATAAGTTATGTGCCAATTTGTATGTTTTTTATTGGCATATATTTTATACACAAACTTTTCTATAAAAATTGAGATGTCAATAATGAATAAAAGATATAAACTTAAAAAAAACTAATCAACCTATCATGATGCGAAATTTAACTATAAATATATTTATAAAAGAAGGTTCGGAAACACCACAAATATAACGTAATTGGATCAAAAGACTATTGGTGATTGAGATTCAAGCTCCGAGATTTAAGTGGGTGATTATGGTGACAAAATGTTGTGCTAATCAATTAACATAATTAATTGAGGTGTGCGCAAAGAAGCCTCGGACACCCCTGTTTCAGGAGAAAAAAAAGTGATTGAGATTCAATACAACTTGCACTATGAAAATACCACCAATTGTGTCAAAACTTGTGTAAATTAAAAAAAAAAAAAAAAAAAAGGACTCTTACATAAATAAATGAACAAATAAATATATTTAATAACATCAATCTCTTGAGAAATGATTAAATAACAAAAATCCCTTTAAATTCGATAAATATTTATAAATTTGTAATAGTATAAATTCTAATGGTTAACTATTGTTTTATTAAGGAAAATAATATAGCCACTGAAAGTAGTGCATCGAATAACATGACAAAATCCTGACCATTGATTAATATTAAGTTATAATTAATTGACGGTCAGGATTTTGTAACGTCATTCGGTGTATAAATCTGATGTACTACTTTCGGTGACTGTAGCATTACTCTTTTATTAATAGGAGGATTTAAGTTCAAGCAGGATGACTTGTATCATTTACCCAACACATGAAAGCATGGAAAATTGGATTATTATCATTGCAATATCAGCCTTTAAAGATATTTGAGAAACACTAATATGTGTGATCATCAGAGCTCTTATTTGGTAGACAGTTCTAGGATGTTAGGAAACTAATTGAAGTATGCGTAAATTGGTCAGAACACTTACATTAATTAAAAAAAAAAAAAAAAAAAAAAAAAAAGAGATATTAGGGAAAACTTACCATTCTGCACCTATTCATCAACAATTTCCTCCTCTATCCTTAATTCCCTCAATCTTTAACTTCATATCTGGGACCGCTTGATAAACCGGCAAAGCCAAGCTCTCCAACATTTTCAAATGTAACGATCTAACATTCCCGGGAACAATCTCGGCAATTCCGTTAATTGCAGCCATAACATTCTCCACAATCTCCTTCGCGTCCATCGAAATCTTCCCTACTTTCAAAACACTACAAGTCCCCGTCCTCAAATACAACAAAGCCGATCCGCAAACTTTCTCAATCTGCTCCTTCCAGTTCTTATGCTTCAAATCCACCGGANGGAATCTGGCACTGCGGGTGGCGGGGGTGTTTTTGTTATTTTATAAAATTTTTATATATTGGGGTATTTAATCAAATTAGCAAACCTAGGGGGTTTTTTAGAAATTTTTAAATTTATAAAAATCTAAAATATTAAACTTTTAAGGGCATTTTAGTCTTTTCACTATTATCAAATGAAAATCACTAACAGAACATGACGGAAGGTACCTATTTATCGTTTCAAAACCTTTTAGGTATCAATTTGTCATTTCGACAAACCTTGGGTATGCATAAGTCGTTCGGCCGTTTTTAATTGACATAAATTTTATATACAAACTTCTTTTTGTAGAAATTGACGTGTCAGGAGGATGAACAAAAGATATAAACGTGTGTGTGCATCTATATTACCAACATTATATTATTTTACAGATATTTGAGATATTGTAGAAAACTTAAAAGTAACACATATATTACATTTAGATATTATCGTGCGTTAAAATAAACTAGAGAAAATCTATTTAAAATAAGGTAGATGAAATCGTCTTGCTCAAGAAGTTGGGCCTTTTGTGTGTGGGATTTGGAGTTTTTTCCATTTTAGTAGTGCATTCAGAGCTGTTTCTACAGTCTTTGAATTCACTCCCGTAAGAGTAAGAAAAGGGAAATGATAGAGTTACCGAAAAGTTTACATCGAATTTATGCACCGAATGACGTGATAAAATCTTAACCGTTGATTAATATTTACTGATAATAAATCAACGGTCAGGATTGTGTCACGTCATTCGGTGCACAAATTCGATGCACATCCGTCGGTAACTGTAGCATTACTCGTAAGAAAAAGGCCCTGAAACTTGCCTCGGTTTTTGAGACAATATTTTGGGGATTTAGGTTGTACAGGACATTATGGGGATGGATGAGGCCTTTCCTGAAATGTTAAGATGAATTTTTCTTTGAGTTATTTTATAGTTTTTATAAATATATGCATTTAAAATACAAGAAAATCATCATAAATTAAAGTACAAGATTATATATATTGAAATTAATTATGGAGAAAATCATCATAATAAAATTAAAATTAAAATTAAGGATGGGTTTTGTATAATCAAGTTCATGAATACATGACTTGTATAATTTATCTAACACATGAAAGCATGCAAAAATGGATTATTACCATAATAATTCATTTTTAATGATAGCTTATAATCATATAGTTCTCATTCTTTTAATGAATTTATATGGTGCTTTTTTTCTTAAGTAGATAGGGTTGAAGAAAATGCATTTCATCTTAGTTTTGGCTTTATAGAGTGCCAATTATGTGCAAATTTGTATGTTTTTTATTGGCATATATTTTATACACAAACTTTTCTATAAAAATTGACATGTCAATAATAAATAAAAGATATAAACTTAAAAAAAACCAATCAACCTATCATGATGCGAAATATAACTATAAATATATTTATAAAAGAAGGTTCAAAAACACCACAAATATAACGTAATTGGATCAAAAGGCATTCGGTGACTTGAAATTCAAGCTCTGAGATTTAAGCAGATGATTATGACGACAAAATATTGTGCTAATCAATTAACATAATTAGTTAAGGTATGTGCAAAAAAGCCTTAGACACCCCTATCTCAGGAGAAAAAAAAGTGACTGAGATTCAATACAACTTGCACTATGAAAATACCATCAATTGGGTCAAAACTTGTGTTTTTTTAAAAAAAAAAAAAAAGGACTCTTAAATAAATATAAATAAATAATATAAATAATAATATATTAATAACCACATCTCTTGAGAAATGATAAAAATAACAAAAAAAAAAAAAAAATCCCTTTAATTCGATAAATATTATAAATTTGTAACAGGTAAATTCTAATGGTTAACTATTGTTTTATAATAGAGGATTTAAGTTCACAGCAGGATACTTGTATCATTTACCCACACATGAAAGCATGGAAAATTAGATTATTTCATTGCAATAGAACCCTTAAAGATGTCGGAGAAACACTAATATAGTAAGAGCCCCGTTTCAGAATGTTAGAAAACTAGTTGAAGTGTACGTAAACTAACACGAACACTTGCAGTAATTAAAATAAAAAAAAAAAAAAAACTGAGATACTAGAGGAAACTTACCATTCTGCACCTATTCATCAACGATTTCCTCCTCTATCCTTAATTCCCTCAATCTTTAAATTCATATCTGGGACCGCTTGATAAACCGGCAAAGCCAAGCTCTCCAGCATTTTCAAATGTAACGATCTAACATTCCCGGGAACAATCTCGGCAATTCCGTTAATAGCAGCCATAATATTCTCCACAATCTCCTTCGCGTCCATCGAAACCTTCCCTACTTTCAAAACACTACAAGTCCCTGTCCTCAAATACAACAAAGCCGATCCGCAAACTTTCTCAATCTGCTCCTTCCAGTTCTTATGCTTCAAATCCACCGGAACCGGAATCTTCTTCCTCTTCTTGAAAAAAATGTTTCCCCAACAACTTAGATAAGAGTGTGACCACTCTTTTATCAGCAAAAAACATATCATACGAATCGCATAGCTTCCTCTTGGCCTCAAACGGGCGATAATCAGTCTTTAATTTGGTAACCTTAATCACTTTAGTGATGGGTACGTTGTCGTTTTTAATTTTCTTCAATGCAGCGTCTTTAGTGAGGTTAAATTTGGGACGATCATCGATTATTAGGCAGAGTTCCGGTGGGTTGTCGTCTTCTTGACGGATTAAAGAGTGAGGGAGTGGGATTTTGTGAGGGTTGATGCGAGAATTTTGTGGGATTTTCTTGAGAGTTAGAATAAGGTAGATAAAATCGTCTTGCTCTAGAAGGGGCTTCTGTGTTTGGCATTTGGAGCTTTTCCATTGTAAGAGTGCGTTCACCGCTGTTTCTACCGCCTTCGTAGGAGCTGGATTGGTGGTGCCCATGGTGGCTACTTGTACTTTTGCTAGAAGGAAGAGGCTCTGAAAGCTTTCCTTGGCTCTATTCTATTAGGTTATTGGGATTTAGGGTTTTGGACTTTTGGGAGGAGATCATGGGATGGAGGGTTTTATATTTTAATTCTATATTAAAAAAAAATACATTTAAAATATATTAAAAAAATCAACATAAATTAAATTAAAATAGAAGGAATCCGCTTTAAATATGTCTATTTAGAATACAAAATTACAATAAAAGTATAATCCCTTTTTTTTTTTATATTCCAATTTTATTATTTAATTAAAATATAGTATTTATTAATTATCAAAACAACAAACAAATATAATGAGTCGTAGATATATCATAGAAGAATTTTCGATATATAATATATAGTTTAACATGCATTGGTATATAATATATAGTTTTATATTCCTTCTATCGAAGAATTTTTTATATAAACTCTCCGAGGTGATTGTATAAATAGTGCCACGTTGAAACCCCTTTGAGTTGAGCCGAATCCGATTTCATTTCTCTGCGACATCATCTCTCCAGCCTCCTTGCCTACCCATTTTCCGGAGAAAATTATAACGGAAAGTTGGGGTGTGTGAACAGAAAAATGGTGAGTGACAAGGGAAAGAAATCAAAGGTCGCTGAGAAAGTGGAGGATGATGAGAATAATGCAGTTGACATAACTGATAGTGAACTCGTTTTCTCCATTGAGAAGTTGCAAGAGGTCCAAGATGAACTCGAAAAGGTCCCTCTTTTCTCCACCCTTCCTTCTATTTTTTTATGTATCCATGCATGCATGTAACTATATATTTATGTATGTATATGTATATCTATAAATATCTGTATGTATATTTGTTTTATAATTGATGGTTGAAAATGTAAAGAGACTGTTTGTTTAAATGTATATAATGGCTTTTGTATATTTCATTAATTTCTTTTTTATTTTGGTTATTATTTGTGTTGATCGTGTATGGATAGCTTCTGTTAATGGGTTAATGTGGCAAACATTAGGGTATTGTGATGTTGAAAACTGAGGTTTTTTTATAGGTTTTTGTGTGAAGAAAGGGAACCCATTACTTAATTGGGGCTTATAAGATTGTTTCTTTGGCTTTATTTTTTTTCTTAGTTTCTTGTAGTTTTTATGGTTCAGCAATCTATGATTTGAGATTTTATGTTGGGGTTTATGAAATTGAATGAGGTAATTGTTTTTTACATGATTCAATAGGTGAATGAAGAAGCAAGTGATAAAGTGCTGGAAGTTGAGCAGAAATATAATGAGTTACGCAGGCCTGTCTACGATAAGCGGAATGAGATCATCAAATCTATCCCTGACTTCTGGATAATTGCGGTCAGTGCTCCATCTTGTTCTCGCGAGCTTTTAGTTTCTAGTTCATTTTACTACTACTGAATTTTCTAGTTTTTGGTACTCTGCAGTTCATGAGTCATCCTGCTTTTTCTGCTCTGCTAAGTGAGGAAGACCATAAGGTTCGGTACATCGATTTTAAAATTATCTGACTGAATTTGATGCATTCCCTAATTGCATTGGAAATTAAAGCTTGTGTAATTGCACAAATCCTTTTTATTTTCTTTTGTTGATGACGACATAGATCTTCAAGTATATGCATTCTCTTGATGTTGAGGACTTTGAAGATGTGAAATCAGGGTACTCGATCACATTTGTAAGTTAAGCTCTACATAATACATTTAGAACATTCATTTATTCTTTGGGATGCTAGCCTTTTGTTCATTTCTTACAAATTCTGTTCTTCCCCCTATTACTTCCTTTCAGAATTTCAGAGAGAACCCTTATTTTGAAAATACGAAGTTGACAAAAACATTCAAATTCCTTGACGAGGGGACCACTAAGATTACTGGTACTACCATTAAATGGAAGGAAGGCGTGGTAATGGTGACACCCAGTGTGCCTTTGGGCATACTTCTTTAATTCATTTTATTTACACTCTTTTTGGTAGCATATGATTAAATATGTGTTGAAATTTGTGAAGGATGCTTCCAATGGAGCCAATCATGAGAAAAAGGGAAATAAACGACCATTCGCTGAAGAGAGGTTATGCTTCTTCTGATTATTGTTTGTTTAATGTGAAAAGAAAATTTTATACACTCTGCAGTGGCTGAAAGCTGTGGCCAGTAGCTTTGATCTTTAACAACTACCATAAAGAGAAAACACATTCAACTTTAATTTTCCTCTTCCATTTAAAATCTTAACTCCTTTGCTAATAATTTTGTAAACGCAGCATCTTTAGTTGGTTTGCTGAAACCGAACAGAGAGATATTGCTGAGCTTCACGATGAGGTGAATTGCTTTTATACTTTTTAATCTTCATGTACTGTTAAGTTCTTGTTCGTGCTTTTGAATGTTGAGAGGAATGATACATTGAACGCTGCCATAATGGTGATAACTGGGCGCTATTTTACTACTACTATTAGTTCAATGTCATTTTCAACTTAAAATTACAGGTGGCAGATATAATCAAGGAGGATTTATGGCCCAATCCTCTCAAGTATTTCAACAGTGTAATGTTTCTCTTCATATATTTTCCTTTTATTCTTCTATTGGTTACTTTTTTGTTCACGATGGACTTAATACAAAATCCCAGAACAAAGCTTCCTTCTAATTTACTGTTGTTCATATGGGGTTCATTATCATATTTGTTGCAGGAGGCTGATGAAGAAGAGGTGTCTGATGGAGATGAAGGTGATGAAGAGGTAATAAAACACACATGAACTTGAGAATTTATGCACGTAAATAGTGGTTGGTTGCATGAAGAATAGAGTCGATCCCCATTATACAAAATTTTTTATGCTTAAAAATTATGAAGACTAAAGAGTAGAGCTTGCTTTTAATCCAAGTGAGAGAAATCAAAATTTGTTGTTTGGTTTCTAAAACCATCAAATACTCTTGAGTGCATTATGTTTACATACTCTGCTTATCAAGTACTTGATAAGATTCAAAATTGGAATAAAATACCAGTCCAAATAATCAATAATGGAGCATTACAAATTTACAATGAACGTATGTGATATTCTGCTGTTGCATTGCAAATAACCTTTGACACTTTTTTATCAGGGAAACGGTGACGATGATGAGGAAGATGATAGTTAAATTAGTTGCACAGCTAAATAGTCTTTGCTTCCTGTGGGTGTTTTCAAAGGTGATGGAACAAAGTTCTTGCAATATTGCATCTTCTTCTGGGTACAAGAGATGGTAGCTATCTAATAGTAGCTATTATATTAGAGAGTTTTAAGTCAATGATTGAGATGCACAATACATTGTTTAGGTTCTTGAATTAAATTTTATGAGCTCGAGATTTTCCAAGTTTCCAATTTTGGCTATGGATATATGATGCTTTATACTCTTGGGTATATATATAAATGCATGAACTTCCATTTCACTAAGCTGATTGTGTATCAGCATATTTATATACAATCAGTCAATGGGCATGTCATATCAGCATACATAGAATACACGTATGTTATAATTGGTTGGTTTTACAAACAACTGTTGCACAGAAGGCAGATGCTTAACGGTTTAAGCCCATGGTGCTCTTCGGCTTCGATGAAAATGAGAGAGAACTAAACAGAAGAGAATGAAACAAAAACTATCACACCATCTCACACAGGCTCTCAAGGCATTGTTTGTAAAGCATACAAGAGATTACTATGGACTACTTATGTGGGAGAAAAAAAAAGAATCAATTATGGCTTCAAAATTTTACAATTCCTCTTTCAATCATTGTTTTATGAATTACAATGCTATTATACAAAGTGGCTGCTTTCAATCTTATCTAAGAAGAAAATAGGGGTCAAAAGCCTCCCAAATCATGTCATTTGTGAATTCCACTGTTTGTTCAGTAGAAGCACCAATCTTTTTCTCATGTAATTTAACTACTAACAAATACAGGTAGTGAATCAAAGGGTTCCTAATAAATGGACTGATAATTTTACCAAGTTCGACGACATCGGATAGTAGAGACATACCATCTTCAATTTCCCCATTGAAAATGCAGTTTGAGAGTGCATAAAAACCAAGCAGATTTGCATAAACTGGTAGAAATGAATCCTTATGGTTACCAACACCACCAATCCAATAAATTCCTCCCTGCCTGCTAATCTGATCCTTTGCAAATGACATTAACTGATGCCAAAATCTCTTCCTCCAACCAAGTAAATAGTTTCTGATTCGATCTTTGTTCGATGTGTCAACAGTCCAAGATTTTGAAATAGGAATCTTCTCTAATTGAGAGCAACATAATAGACTGATTAAAAGCTTCTCTTCATGATGATTATCAATTTCCTTGTCAAAAACCCGCCTTACTAGATCCCCTTCGGATACCACATGGCTTGCTGCATTAAGCACCCATTGCAGAAGGGATTCAGTATATTCGATCCAGCAACCGAAGATGGAGGATAGGTACTGAAAACTTGATTCAATAACTTTTTCCACTTGGGTTGGAGCCCCTCCCGCATGAGAGCCATTTCTGTAGCTTTTTGAATGAAAACACTTCTGGACGTCCATGGCAAGCCTTTGTCTAATCCCATCATCTTCATCCTCCAGTAGTTTGATACATGCAAACCATATCTCTAGTACTTGACGAGCATACATATTAATGGATTCTTGTGGTTTGAAATGCGTACCTAAACTTTCAGGGGGAATTTGGTGGTTGACCACATAAGGACCCACAAATTCGGCTTGTTCCAGCAAACCAGATGCTCCTATAGATTCAGCTGCTGCCTTGCGCATGTTCACCGGCTCTGATGAGGTACTATGCTCTTTAATTATGTCAACAAAAGCATTAATGCAAGCATATAAACGGGCTGATCTTTCCAAATGATCTGACTCACTGAACTCCCTGGTTTTCTTCTTCTCTAAATCAAGAACTGAGCTTGTATATATACCTGCAAACTGCCGTATGCATATTGCCAAACACTTGATGAGAGCCTCTTTAGTTTTAGTATGTCTTGTGAGCTCATACAAGGATATCAGCCTATCCCAAAGCTGAAAAACAGAATCACAATCCATCCCTCCAACATAAATTATTTGTACTTCATTGCTGGCTTTCTGAAACTGCAGAAAGTTCCAAGTGAAAAGATTCCTCAGTATGTAATTTGTACATCTATGATTCTTGTCCAACTCTAAACGGTCTATCAATGTGTCCTGCAGGTTACTTTTTGTCCAGTTCTGAATGTTCCGTACTTCACTGCTTGACAAGTCACAGACTTCACTATCTGATTTTGTTGATTTCAAGAACTTAAGAAGCCACTTTAATGTTGCAAGTCGAACTTCATAAGATGAATCTGACAAGCAACGGACCAGCCTCTCCAGGAGTCCAGCAAAAGAATTCTCCATTTCAGGTATCTTCGACAACTTTGAATCAAGTGGAGAACATCTCTGTGGCATCTGAAAAACTTCTTCATCTGCTTCTTCAGATGCCTGAAAAACACAACTGAAATAGGATTTAGCCGCTTGTTCCCGAAGTTCAGCAATTGTTGGATCATAATATGACAGCCCGTAAGAAGCTTCAACATCTAAGCACTCAGTAGATAACTCCAAAAGTAGGTTGCGTACGGCATAAAAACTACTGCTTATACGGAATGTTCTTGCAATACTGAGCATGTGATCAAGCACTGTTAAGAAAGAGGCATTGAGGATGGGGCAAGGGCACCTTTTGGGGCTTGCAATCCATGAACACCTCCCAAGAACTTTGATTAAGTCACCAAGAATTTGATCCTTCTTCGAGGAATCGCCTAAGTTTCTACAGTTTGCATCCAGAAGAGAACCTAACTGCAATAGAATTCCATGAATTAAATTGGAGTTAGCTTGGTGGGTTCCAGAGGTTGGGCACGAAGAGGAAGCAGGAGCAGCTGTGTTATGGTCTTCAACATAAGGTAATTCAGATGCTATATTCTGAAGGACAACAGGCAGTTTCTCATTAGATACCAGTCCTGTTAAAGCGCGGGATGCAAGAACACGAACTTTTAGATTGCTTTGGGTTGAGCACCTTCTGATAAATGGCATGAAAAGGAAAGGATCCAGGTCATCCCCACTTTCACTTGCGAGGGGTGAAGGTTTGAGCCTAGATAAAAGAATCAGCATGGGGCACAAGCTTGGGTGCACAACATTTGCCAAGTTGGATTCTGATTGACCAGATGAGGTGTCGCCTAGCAACTCAGTTATAATTTTCAGTTCATTGAATATAAATGGATGCAATGAGGGGTACCTTCAAGAAAGCAGATTAAATAATCGTTAAAATATTATAGTAGCTCTACACAATTAGCAGAAAAAAAGTAATGCTAAACTATAAGACGACACATAGTTCAGACAAGCATACAATCTGAAATTTTAAAGCAGTTCACCTAGAGACTCTTTTCATGCAAGATTATGAATATACAAAAGTTAAAATTTTGGCCAACTTTGAATTTCTGAAAGTCAATTGCAAACTTAAACCATGCCAAAAATAAAGCAAATACAAGAGACAGGAAAATGTGATCTAATTTGCTAGTCAAAGAAATCGTACCTATGAAAAAATTCGAGCCCAGTTAGTGCACGCCTTGCAGATTCTCGTTTTTGAACATTAAGAAATCCAATCATGCGACGTACCAAGGCAGTGTATGCGAGACAAGCACTGTTCCGAATTTCCCAGTATGGAGAAGAGAATGAGCGGATTGAAACAATCAAAGCTTCGGCAGAAAAACCAGAGGTGTCAGTAGCCAGGTTGGTATCATTAAATGCAGCTCTAAGGATGTTGAATGCATGTACCGTTGGAATGACACCCTCATCTCGAATCTTAGACGATTTGAAAGTTGCATTCATCTCAGGTGACAATGCAGATTCCGTCTCTTGGTTTGAATTTTCCAATAAACATTGAGATTCATTTTTTACGCCTTTGGTTTCAATTAGGTTCAGCAAAGACCTGTTAGCTACATCTATTAGCCACCGAAGTGCCCGTGGGAGAAGCTTCTTTGGTGCACCTTCTGGTTCTGCAAGAAATAGGGCAATGAAAGCAGCAGGAATACCTGCACTTCTTCTTAACAAATCATCCACTATTTGTCCCTTGGCCACAGTTCTTTCCATAAGTTGCTCCATCCAAGACTCAGTCAACCTACAAAGTCTGCAAAGATAAACAACATCTCAGAAATACTTATGGTTAAGAATAATAAGAATTCAAAAAGCCAGCTAAATGTATACTGAGAAACTTCTATATTCAAAATATCTTTTGCAATTAAAGCCAAATAGATCCAATAAGAACTGGAAAATGTTAATATGGACATTGTAACAAATATAAAAGCACTGGCACAGTCCAAAGCACTTCAAAACAGCCCCCTCTTGCTAAAGGAACCCATTACTATTTTTAAATGGGAAAACCAAGAATATTAAAAGGGCTGAGATTTCTTTCCCCAAATGCCCTACGGCCATTTTGAGGAAGCAAGGAGCATTAAAAGAATATGACTGATGGCATAAACTAGGCATCCCTCTTAACTCTAAGGATGATAAAAAATTGCTATATTCTTATATGTATGACAAAGACAAATGGAAACTTACCTTGGATCATTCGAACAAAGTAAGCGGTTGCAAAGAGCTGTAAACCCAGCCCTTGTCTTATCAATTGCTCCATTATGCTTCATCTTCAAAAGAACTTCCAAGAAATGGTTCCCAATTTTTTCAAGTTGTTTCAAGTCAAGCATTGGATTAGAGATTGTCATCACTGAAACATCAGCATCATTGGAAAAACGAGTCTCAGACTCTAATGAATCCGAACAATCATTACTTGGTAAAGGAATTTTTCTTATGATGGTTCCTAGAAGAAGACTCACCTAAAAACCATAAACATGCTGTCGTTAACATCGACGTCAAAAGAATTCATTTTTAATTGCTTGGACTTCAGCAAATATAAATAATTAATTAAGAGAATGATTAGAAAACCAACATTATTACCTGCATTCAGTAGACAGACCATAAATAGGAAAGAATATAGAAATTACCTCTTTCATCGCCAGCCAGCAACCAACCATAACAATCTGTTCTGATGACCTTGCATCTTCTGTAGGTTTTGATTTCTTATCTTCCTGCTCTAAAGCATGTGTGGGCCCATCCACCTCCTCGGAGACATCCAACAAGAAAGTATCATCATTAATCATGTCATCCATGTCCTCAGGCAGATACCAAGCATCTGCAGAAACCACCCAAAGTGCCAGTGAAGTTATTCGCATGACCAGCTCCAATAGCTTCTCTAATACACATCTCATCTCTGAAAAACCCAACAACATGGCATCGGAACTCCAATCCCATTCCTCGAAAGTATATCGGAGAGCAAGTAATATACCATGAACAAAACTGTTCTTACAGGCTTCAGAAAGATCCTTCTCTCCCTCCTCTACTGCAACCTCCAACCAATCAATTAGTGATTTCACATATTCTATAACAGGTGGCCTAGATTTAGAAACCTGCTCATCTCTATTTCCCCGCTGAGGCTGCCAAGGAAAACAAACAATGTCTGAAGCTCTGACTATCCACCCAAGATCCAAGACATACTTCCTAAACATAAGCCGTAAAGTTAGCGCTCCAGCATCACTCTCCCTCACACGTGGACTACAAACTAATTTTTTAGACCATGCTATTACCTTTTGGACCATGTCTTCACTTGAAATGCCAGGTAGTGGGTTAGGAAAATGCAGTAATATGCGAAAAGAACTCTCCCTCAGCCTGTCCCAACTATCAATAATTGATCCAACTAACACTAGTGTTGAATCTGGTGAAGTGATTCCTTTATTGTAAGGATAAAGGCAACTTTCAGGAGAGACAGAACCAGGCTTTTCTTGAGAAGGTGTGATAGACCAAACGTTTGCCATTGTCAGAATAAGCTCCATGGCCATTATTTTTCGCTTATAAGGTGCAGAAGGATAGCATGAGAAAAATAGAAAACTGCTCAACCACCTCATGAAATTAAATAGATCCTCAGCTCTACTAATTACAGTTTCCTCTGTTCCATTGCATGACTCATCATTGTTTCTGCAGGACACAATAGGTTGCCAGATACCCTGCTTGAATTGCCTCTCCAAGGCAGTTCGAACTCGAGAGAAAAACTTTCTAAACAAGCTTGTCCACTTCATCTGAAATGCTGTTGAGCAACACCTCATGTTCAATGGCACAGCTTCTTTCATCAGAGTTAGTTCTAAATGGGAAGGCAGACTAGCTGTCTTGGGATTTAGGAAAAGAGACTCTGCAGCATCTACACGGAGTGACTCATCAATATGGGTCAGCGCCAACACTAGCCAGTCAACCACGACCTTAAACTTTATTCCCTTAATGCAGACAAGAGCATAATGATCATTGCATTCAGTTTCCAACACACTCTCTGTGCTTAGCACAGCAGAATTTTTCCACCAATCGATATCTCCTTCAATTAAAGCAAGTGCACGGGATACCTTAAGCAAGGAGACTAAAACAGCTACTTGCTGCTCAACTTTGAGTTCCATGTCCGTACAATCAAGCTTTGGATATGACAATCCATTCTCCTCCTCACTGGACTCAACCGAGATGAAGGCAAGCATAGGAAAAACACCATCCACATCCACATCTAAAATAGCTGGAAGGGCATAAGTATTCAAATTGGAGCGTAGCTTTGAAGCTCCGGAAGCAAGTCCATACAAAAAAGGAGGCAAGCAGTGCCTTCTATAAACTGCGTAGCCCCCTTCAATACCATAAGAACTCCAACACTCATCACGTAAGCATTCAAGGAAACATTTCAGGAAAGATGTGGCAGCAGTGCACACATCATCATCAATATAGGCCTGGACTGTTTCAAACAACAGGTTAGGACTCATATCCAACATAGTTTTTGCCCCCAATCTCTTAGTCAGTGAAGCCAAGGGAATGTATCTCCCCTTACACCGTGGTCCTAGGCGAAGAAGATCAAAAGCAATCTTTTGTAAGAAAGATTTTATTCTCTCACCACCCTCACCCCAACGAAGAGTGGATTCAATATCTAAGAATAAATCAAAAACAAGATGAACTTGCTTGACTGTTTGACTCAGAGGATCCTCCAAGTTATTCCATATGATTCTCAATATCCGTGCCCCCATATCCTCTGGAATTGGATCATAATTATCCGATGTATTGGTTAAATTAGCTAAAATTGAGGTCTTTATTTGTTGCAAACATATTTGCATCACAGTTAATGCATGAAAGTTAAAATGACTATCAGTTGGGCTCTCACAGTAATCACACAACTCAGGCAAAATCCCATTATACAATATAGTCATCACAGAACTACCACTATTCCTGCCAACATTTAAATTATTCGATGACCCAAAAAAGGGGATGTTGAGTACATTTCTCGAAACAGCTGTGAGTATCCCTCGAATCAAGCAAAGTCTACTCAACACCGAAAAACTAAGTATTTCACTACAAACATCTCCATTATAAGGAACCTTCCCAATCGCATCATCAAACTCACTCTTACAATCATTATCACTAAGATTACAATTTGCTTGACAAAAAATACCTTCAATGATGAACGAACCAAGCTCTTGAGGACTCAAACACACTTGTAAAGCAGCACAAAGTGCCACCCCAGCCGCCACGAAACAATCTCTCGTAAACGCCACTGATTTCAAGATACTTATCAAAACCCCAAAACCCTTCTCCAAAACCTTCAATTCTTGACCTCCAGAGCCACTATCAGCACCACTCAGGTCCCTAAATTTAGCTGGAAACCGCTGAAGCAAATAATAAAAACAGGACAAACCTTCCTGGCACTGCTCCATAACTATAGGAGAAGGACTAGCCCACTCTTGAACCTCCAAAATCACACTATTCAACCCCAAAACGACATCCTCAGCAATAAAACGGCACAATCTTCAATCACATCAACTAAAAACCCCAACTTTGGCATACCCATTACAGACAAAGCCACACGTGACACACAAAACCTCTTCTTGCCGCCATATCATTGCAAAGCTCACGAAAACAAGAACCAATCAAAGACTCAAACTTTTAAGTTTCCCCAAAGCAGAAACCAAAGTTCTATGCAATGGAGAAGAATTCTCCAAAACAAAACTTCTAAGTACCCCCGCGTAGCTTTCGGGATCAAAGACTCACAACACTGGATAAGAGCAATCAGTGAAAGATGAAGCGAGTTTCTTGCGTGATAACTTGTGAGTATGAGAGTTGAGTGATGCTAACTTTTTAAGTCATCGTAAAGTTTGAAAAAGAGTTTGTTGTTGTTGTGTTGTTGTGGATGATGATGTTAAGAATTGGTTAAGAAGTCTGTGAAGAATGAAGGGGAAACGACGGCGTTGTAAGTGTAACGGTGGCGGTGTTGCAACGCGCGCCATTGCGGACATGAGTGTATTTTGGTGGGAGAGGAGGGGTGGAGGAGGTGGGCGGCTTTGTGGGTTTAAGGGTTTGTGGTAGTTTTACAGGTAAAATAAGAGAGAGTTTAGGGCAAGGACACAAGTCAAGAGGTGACGAAGATGGCTTGCTTTGGTTCAGGGTTTAATGTTGGGTTAGAATGAAGGCCCAAATTGCAATAATTAACATAATATATATAATATAATATATATATATATATTTTTTTTTTTTTCATTAGTAATTAGTGTTATAAATTGTTTAAAAATCAACACATATGTTATATTGTTTCTTAGAGATTGCGAGATTGTATTGAATGAACAAAGATTGTGAATATAAAAAAAAGGTTGGGTCAATGGATCGCTCATTTGTATCACAAATGTTGCGGGCGATGGAAACTCTATCCGAAGTCGAGGGACTAATGAAGTGCGTAAATGAGATAAACATTTTATAAAAAAAAACAAAAAAAAAAAACAATTGAATTCCAGAATTCGCAGCACACAAAGTGGATCATATGCCCTTCTGTTCCAACGATCCAATCATGACCCTCTGTTGGGTTTAGAAAACACCTTAATTTGCAAAACACAAATGCATTCACAAGCCTGTACAAAGCATGGCATATAATCCCTTTAACAGAAACCAAATCTGACTGAAAGTGTACTAGAGAATTGTTTGGCAGCATTATTCAGTTCATGCTCTCAAGCCTCTGAAAAGTGTCTCTCTCTTGTTTGCCTTCCTTATAAATACCCCCTTGCCTGAAAGAATTCAACCATGATCTAAACCTGGATTTTATAAGTTGTATGTAAGAGTTGGAGGGAACTAAACAGATAGGTAAAATACAACATTCTGTTTAATTTCCTCCAATATCTTATCTCCCAACTTCTAAATCATAACACTAAGTCTCTTCTCTCAAATTTCTGTTTATGCTGTGGTTTTATCAGTTGTATGTAAGAATTGGAGGAACTTAACAGATCATTACCATTGTTGATGCTGGTTTTCGGCACCAACCAATTGTCACGTGGGTTTTGCTCTTGATGAATTAATGCACGTGATAATGGATATATGAATGAATAAAAGCAGGGAAACTTTAAAGTGGTTCGGATGCTAAGGTAGCAAGTCCTAGTCCATGAGTTGTATGATATTAGTGTGGGTCAGGTCGCGAAGCGGACTGACGTACAAAAAGTTATGAAAAGTAAGTGTTTTTCTTTTACAGAGAGAGAGTTATTTTTTGTAAAGAATGGCCGAATCCCCTTAATGAGGGGTCTTCTTCATTTATAACAAATTGAGGCGTGTAATCATCTTAAATCCATGGGTTGGGTGATTGTCAGGATGTAATCCGGCTTTACGTCCCATTTTCCTTTTTCCAAGCTGATTTCGCACGACTGCTGCAGAGGAATGGACGCGTGGTGAGCTCCACATTACTTGCAGGTCTGACGTGTGCATGTTTGCCTGACGGGAGCAGGTCACCGTAACGTGACTCTTCCCATGTCAGCCCTTGTTTTCCCGGGTATAACAGAAGCCCCCTAGTTTTTAAGGTTCGAGGAACGAGCCTTGGAAACTAAGTCACATGGAGACTTTGGTCGCTCCGACCTGGATGGGGTGAGCTCGCCTCAAGACTCGCAGCGAACACGATCTCGCGCGATCCCTTGCCTAAGCGACCTGACAATCTTTATCTCAGCGACCGGACTTGACGGACGCTCCTTCTGCACCTTAGTGGTTCAATGAATCTGTCCCGCGCTGTCAGGCGCTCTGCATGCGTTACAGCGCTTGTCAGACACATTAAATGCGCGGTATGATGACCGACGCCGTTTTGACAGTATTGACCGTTTAACGTGTTTGAAACCGACAGCCCTTATTACGCATTTAATGCGACGTGGGTTTGAAATGGCGCCCCTTTTCACGGCATTTAACGAGACGTGGGGGCGCATTTAATGCGGAGGGAGAGGGAACTGCCGGTTCGACTCGAGGGGTGGTAACGTCGTTTTGTATCCATAAAAACTTTGTATTTTTCAGATGAGGTCACCGAAATTTCTTTCGCTTCGAGTGACAAAATTGGCAAACCAAGAATCATTTCCCGATCGACGCTTTTCAGGCAACCGGAACGAGTCTCGGCCTAGCTCCATATACCACAGAGTAAGGTTCTCTTCTTTTTTCTCTCTCTCTCTTTTTTTTTTGATTGGTTTGGTTGAACCATGGCGTTGGGTCTTCCGGTGTTTCACCGGAGTCGCGACGCCGTTATTGGATTCGAGCCGTGGATGGCGGCTTGAATCACCACTAGGTTTTAAGTATTTGTCCTTGCTGCGTACGGGACAAACACGAAGGCCCAAATGACCGTGTCTGGCGATGGGCAGACTGGAATGGAACCGTCAACATCCAGGACGAGGGAGGAGCCAGCTCGTCCTGCGGGGAGCTCCCGAGGACGCAGCTCTCGACGTCTATTCGGTCCTTACCTCGAGGAATATGCTAGAATAAAGCGGCAGTTCGATATCCGTAAGGAGGTGTTCTCGACCACACTAGGCCGTCACGGCGCCCACGACGGCCTTGCCGCGATCTCTGAGGAGATCTTCAAGGGTGGAGGGAGGATTCCCTTCCATCCTTTCATCAGGTCGGTCCTGGATCATTCGGGATGCACCAATGCAGCTGACGCCAAAGCGTGATGCATCGCCGTCGCGATGTACATTGCGTGCTGCGAGAATGGTGGGGGAGCCGTCGGCGGTGGAGCTCGGTGTCGTACTACCTGAAGAAGAGGTAGGGACAAGGATTCTTACTATTTGTCTCGGCGACCTACCATTGCGCGGGGATACACAGCTATCCCAGCAATGCGGGGGCCTACGAGACAAAGTTTTCTTTTTCGTTATAAACGGTCACCGCCAATTCCAGGATCCAAGTAGGTTTCCTTTTGCTGGATTTGTATCTGTGCGCACGATTGTTAGCTAACGACCTGTTTTCTATGCAGTTAATAGAACGACCAGCAAGAATTACTCGCCGACCCGAACAGGCTCGTATCTTTCGGGGTACTAGACGAGGAACAGCGGGACCGAGGAAGCTTGTGACGACCGCGAACCTGCGGAAGTACAGTTTTTTCACCGACAAGGCATCGTTGAACCTTGGACGGTAAGTTATGTGGTAGCTTTCTGGTCGTGATATAAATTCCCTTACTGACAAGTTTAAATGCAGAGACCATGCCCCCAAAGGAGTCCGGGCAGTCCCGCCGAGCGCCATTTGTTTTCCTGCTCAAGGAGGGAGAGGGAGAGGGAAGGGAGAGGGAGGCCGAAGCTGCTCGTGCCATTCCCGCACAACCGCTGCGAACTTCTGCGCCTTCGCCAGCCTCGTCCTGCCAAGAAGCGACCAGAACAGAACAGGTCGCTCCGGCACTCCTGCTGCCCCAGGCGGAAGGCTCCGGCCCAAAGGTCCAAGAAGAGGAAACAGGTCCAAGTCGAAGAATCTGAGACCGAATCCGAGGAGGAGCCCCTCAGGACTCGCCAAGAATCCAGGAGGTCGGGAAAGGAACCCGCGAGCGGGGGCGGTGATTGGCGACAAGGCGAAGGACGCGCCTGTTCTGGAATGTTGGGAGTCTGCCTGAGACCTGCAGCCAATTGTATATGGCTTGCTCAAGAGCGAGTATCGGAGTCGTACAGCGGATTTGCAGACACGGGCGACGACCTGATGGCCACCTCGTTTCAGCATCTGAGCAAGGTAAACCAGGTACTTGAATTCCCATTTTGATTTTATTTCTAACTCGTATACTGCTCGCAGGGGTTGCTTGCGATGAGGATGTCCATGGGAAGACGCGGCTGGGGGCCGCAAAGGGAACGAGCGACCTGGAGGCGGAGGTCGCGAAACTGAAGCAGAAATTGGAGTCTGTGAGGCGGAAGAAACCAAGCGTTCGAAGCAGCGATAGGTATCGACCAAAAGGACGCTGCTCAGCGAACAGTGGACTTCCAGAGGGCAGAGCTCGATCGGGTGCTGAGGAAGTCAGAGAACTTCAAAGGACGACCGCCAGGCTTTAGAGAAGTCGGAGAAAAGGACCAGGAGCTTCAGGCGACCTTTGCACGGGCTCAGCGAGCTGAAGAGGATAGGCAGGTCTCTGAGCAGGAGAGGCTAGCTCTTGAGGCCGAGCTCTAGGAGAGTCGAGCGAGGGTCGCTTCTCTGACTGATGAAATGCAGAATCAGTCGGAGGAGCTGGAGGAGAAGGCCGCGGACTGGGCGATTGGGTGTACTACACCCTGCGAGCAAGGAACCTGGATTTGGAATGTCCGCCTCCCAGGGGTTGGCAGGGACCTTGCGGATTATGGCGAAGAGGACGACCAGGCTGTCGCGGCCGCCCAGGACCGATCAGGCGGGTGACTCTGGCTCGAAGGATCTCCCGACCAACCTTAGGGTAATGGACTGTCTTTGTTGTAATTGGGTTTTTGGAATTTTGCTTGTAAATGAAATTATCTTTTCAATGCATTTCGCTCTTTTCATATATTGTTTGACATTTACAATTTGCGATTTACATAATTGTCTACAAATGCGAACAGAACACATAGAACTGTTTAGAACAACACAGGTAATACTTAGAAAGAAATTACAAAAATAGTGAGAGTTGAGTTCAGAGGTACTGAAGTACGGCCGGAGGTGCTCGGCATTCCAAGTCGGGGTACTTTGGAACCGTTCAACCTTTTGAGATGGTAGGTCCCGGTCTGATTACTTTGTGACCCGGTATGGACCTTCCCAGTAGGTCCTAGTACCCCCGCAATCGGTTCTCTGGTCCGAGGAGAACTTCCTTTAGCACAAGGTCTCCGACCTGGAAGTCTCTTGTTTGACCTTTGAGTCGAAGAATCTTTTTGCTCGCTGTTGGTAGGCCGCTATCCTTAGTGAGGCCTTGTTGCGGTGCTCTTGACCAGATCCAAACTTGCTCTCATTAGTGCTTCGTTTTCGTTCTATTGTACAAGTCTCTCCGAAGAGACCGGTTCCGACCTCTACAGGGATCATTGCTTCACAGCCATAAGCTAGCGAAAAGGAGTTTCCGAGGTGGAGGTCCTTGGAGTTGGCCTATAGCCCACAAGACTCGGGGAGGTCGTCAGCCAATTTCCTTTGGCTGCCCCGAGCTTGGCTTTCAGAGTGTGCTTGATGGTCTTGTTGACTGCTTCGACTTGGCCATTCGTGGGTCTGGCGACTGAGGCAAATTTTATGGATGCCCAGCTCGTCGCAGAACTGCCTGAACTCCCATTGTCGAAAGCTTTCCATTATCTGAGATGAGGGGGTGAGGAATCCGTAGCGGCACACTATATTCTTGAAAAAGAAGTCCTTCAGCTTTCTGGTGTGATGCGGCTAGCGGTCGGCTTCGACCCATTTCGTGAAGTAGTCTACCGCGACCACGGCATACTTGACCCTCCTTTCCAACGGCATGGGGCCGATGAGGTCGATTCCCCACATGGAAAACGGCCAGGGGCTAGACATAATGATCAGCTGTGAGAAGGGGCTCGCGGAATGTTCGCGAACCGTTGGCATTTGTCGCATTTCTTGACGAAGTTGTTCGCATCTTTTTGGATTCGGGGCCAGTAGTATCCTGGCGAACAATCTTGTTCGCCAGAGACGAGCTGCTGTGTGGTTACCGCAGATCCCCTCATGAATTTCCCTCATGATGTAGTCTGCTTCTTCGCTGGTCACACATCGGAGGAGTGGGGCACTGAATCCTCTCCTGTACAGCTGATCCCCGATGAGTGTGAAACGAGCAGACCTTACTCGTAGGACCCTTGCCTCGACCTTGTCGCTGGCTGGGCAAGGTTCCTTGAGGTAGGACAATGGGAGTCTACAGGAATCGGCTGAACCTCGTTCACGGCCTGTTCGGTCGAGCTGATGAGTGGGCGTTGACAAAGCGAACAAGGAATGCTATCAGGAGCCTGTGAATCTAGTGACGAGGGTATCTTTGCCAAGGCGTTTGCTATTGAGTTGCTTTCCCTGGGGATCGAGAGCGATCTCAAAGTGTTAAAGACCCCAAAGAGACTTAGCTTCTTTTAGGTAGCGGACCATGTTCTCTTCTTTGGCTTGGTATTCCCCTAGGATCTGGTTGACGACCAGCATAGAGTCGTATAAATGCTGATCGCGGTTGCACCCATTTCTTGGCGAGTCGCAACCCGGCGAGCAGAGCTTCGTATTCGGACTCATTGTTGGTCGCTTTAAACCGAACGGAGAATACCATGATCGGATCCCCTCGGGGCTACCAGGAGAAGACCCGCACTGGCTCATTTCCTGTTCGGACCCGTCGACGTAGAGGTTCCATGTCAACAGGTTCTGGATAGTTTCTTGCCCGACTTCGCTAGACTGTTGCTCGCTTGGGAGATAGGAAAATTCGAATGAAGTGCAACAGCGCCCTTTGATAGCCGACCTGGGCGTGTACCTTAATCGAACTGGCCAGCTCAGCCCATTTGAGCAATTTACTCGAGGCCTCGGTTTCTGGGGACCTGCCTGAGAGGGTAACTCGTCATCACATGATGTGATGGGCGTGGAAGTAAGGTGCAGCTTTCTGGACGCGACCAGCAGGGCAAAAGCTAGTCGCTCCATTTCCGGGTACCGCATCTCGGCATCCGATAGACGCTTACTGCTATAATATACGGCCACTGAACTTTTTCCTCTTCTCGTATTAAAGCGCACTGACCGCGAAATGAGACACGGACAGGTAGATGAGTAGGATTTCTCGTGGAAGAGGCTTAGAGAGGAGTGGTGGCTTCCCAAGATGCTCTTTTATACTTTGGAATGCCCGCATTCGGAAGTCCACTCGAATTTCTATTTGCTTTCAGAACATTGAAGAACGGTAAACAGCGGTCCGTTAGCCGATATGAAGCGATAAGTGCCGCTATTGTCCGTTCAAACTCATGACTGCTTCTGCTGGTGGACTTTCCATATCGAGCAGAGCTTGAATCTTTTCGGGGTTTACCTTATGCCCCGCTGATTGACCATATATCCCAGGAACTTTCCTGACGATACTCCGAACGAACATTGAGAGGGTTCAGCTTCATTCTGTAGAGTCGGAGTATGTCAAACATCTCAGCGAGATGCGAAATATATCTGTGGCGACCTGGGATTTGACCAGCTGTCGTCTAATAGACCTCCATTGTCCCCAATCTGGTCGGAGAAC